AGCTGTAATTGGAATGGCTGAATTGTTTTCAGAGGGTAATTATGATAATGTTACTGTAGCAGATGTTCCTGATTATCTGGCCATTCTACATTTTAATTATACACTTGAGACTACTTCTAATTCAGTACATATGGTTTATCCAACTTTTACACTTGGAGATCTATCAGCATTAAATCCAATTCCATTTATTGTTAATATTTATCCACCAATTGCAGCATTATTAATAGAAGTAATACTTAATCCAATCACAGTAACCCAAATCTTATTTGCATAACCATTTTTTGTTAAAACATAAGTAGAATATTATCCTTATGGTAAATTAGGAATTGTATAAGTAAACGAAGCCCCAGAAATAGTTGCTGTAACTGTTTATGTAACTGGGCCTTTGAAGACAACAGAAACTGAATCTGTCAATCCTGTTCCTGATAATGTTTCTGTATTACCTGGAACATAAGTCTTTTATTAACTTAATACTAATTCAGCAGACGATAACATATCTCTTCTAGCTGATTTACCAAGATTCAAAATATGATTGTTTCCTTATTACTTTGATTCTTCTGTCCATAAAAATCTCTTTCTTTAAACTAGTTTTTAATGATCTGGTTTTTAATGATCATTTTCTGTTAAAATTCTTGATCCTGTAAATTAAGTAGTAGATTATGGATATGCGTCGAGTTGAGGTGTTAAAGTACTATCATATGTAAATAAGCATTGATTAGTAGTATCAAGACATGTTGATTCAAGTGTTACTAATAATGTCACAACAACTAATTAAGCTGGCTGATTGTAGAATTCAAATTTAGATGGAACTGTACAATAGATGACTTCACTTGTAAATCTACTTTCATCAATTTCACATATCCAATTAATAGCTGCTCCAATAAAGACAAGGGTTTCTCCTTAAACAAAATTAGATCCTGTAATTTTAATAACAGTTCCTCCAGCTTCAGAGCCTTTAGCTTAACTACCATCTTCTAAAGTAACACTTGTAACTGGAATAATGTATTTAAATAAGTTATCTTCACCATTAGCATAAGAATTTCCATAACCTTTTCTTGTTACAGTAACTCTATAATTTCCAGGCATTCCTCCTCTTAAATAAACTTAAATTGAAGTATCTGTGATAGATATTACTTTAGCATTATAAGATTTAGTTGTTCCAACTAGAGTAACTTTGATATCATCAGCATCAACTCCAAAATTAGTTCCTGTAATTGTCATTTCTCCTTTGAATATAGGTGATTTTTCTTAGAATTCTAAAGTTGAAACTTGAATTCTTAAATTATCATCATATGCAAATGAATTACTATCGACTGTTTTCTAATTGAAAGAGATGGAGATAGCTCCAGTTCCTCCAATTACTTTTTATGGGGAAACAAAAACTATTTCATTGTTTGATATAGATAATGGTTTAACATCATTTCCATCAATTTTGAATGTAAAATCTCTATTAAAATTTTTAGGAAATCCAGTACCAGTGATAGTAATGGTTGTTCCTCCATCGGGTGATCCTAGAGCTGGTAAGACTTAAGTTATAATCAATTCAACATTTTCACCTGTTACTCCACCATCAACTTTAGAATATCCAATAGATTTATGATGTACAGCAGGTACTTAATTTTGACCTGCTTCTTTGATATTCTACCCATTCAATTATTCTAAGCTACATGTAATAGAATATGGAGAAGTATTTGTTGTAAATTGAATATTTGTACAATCAGCTCCTGCATATGATATTTCCAAGTCTGTTTTAGTTATTGCTAAACCAGCTCCTTCTGATAAAGTTAAAGATAGTTAAGAACCTGAAAATGAATAAGCAGTCAAAGTTGGAGTTTTTTCATCACTTAAAGTAAAATCACATGCAGATACTTGTTCACAACCAGCTAATATTTATTCTGTTTCAACAACAACTCCATTTTCTTTTAATTCGTATTAAACTTCTACTTGAACTTATGGGTGTTGACTATAAGTAAATAATAATTCATTAGGGATAGGTTCAAATAAGAGATTATCACTATCATCTCTGGGTTTAATTACAGTAACTGAAACTTCTCCATTTCCTGAAATAAGCTGTTTAGTAGAGATGTCAAAGGCAGTAAGTCCTGCCATATGTGATCTTAATACAATATACCATGACCATCCATCTTAAGCTCTTCCAGTAGTCCAAACAAATGGTCTTTATCCAGTAAGTCTTTCAATATTATCAGCAATTAATGATGATGATGCATCAAATGGTATATCAAAGTTGGTCTCTGATACTTAAAATAAATTTTCAATATTATTAATGGTCATTTATAATTAGAAAGTTCCACTTATTGGATCAGCAGGTTCTTAGATTCTTTCTATCTTTTATGAGACTGTTCCTCCATTAAGTGTTGATGAAACAATTTTTGGAAGTGCCCTATATTATGTGGTACCTCTATGAGAATCAAATGTTATAGTATATTTATATCCAGCAAAAGATGTAGCTGAATCATCTAAAGGGGTTCCAGTATTATCCAATTTAGTGGCTGTAACACTTACTAAATACTTTCCACCACAGGTTTAAATTGAGTGTCTTATGACATTTGCATTAGCATTTGCTGCTATATCTCCAGTTTTATAAGAATAATATACACCTGTCTATGGTGTTGTTTTAGTACCATATGTGAATTGAAGTTAATACCGACCGGCTAATAAAGTGTTACCATTTGAATTATAAAGTGTAAATTCAATGACTTCTTTAACAGGGGTGTAGGATGTTTAAATTTAATATATACTATTTAATGAATTTGATTTTCTAGTATTACTTTCAATTTCCATAGAAAGAGTGAAATATCCACTTGATCCCCCATTTAGATGATAAGCTTCAATATAATAAAATTCACCCTCTTATAAAGAAACAGGTTCTGATATTGATTTAGGTGTGTAAGAATAACTCAAATACTCATGCCAATAATTTCTGTATGGATTCCAATAATTAGAGGCTGCTGCTGTGTCAGGTCTTATAGGTTTTTTAATTTCTGTAGTTTAAATATAGAATTGAGAGCAATCATCTGAGGCAAGATAAAATTTATAATTTCCTGTAAATGGGGCTTTGAAGAATCCTCTGAAATATTATCCATAATATTCTCCAAATGAATTTTAGATATCAGGTTCTGGATGAATTCCATCAAATTATATTCTATTGTCCAATTATGCTTAGTTAGAAATGATTTAATTTCTAAAAGCAGGACAATCTAAATTTAATCCTGAAATATCCCATCTAGTGTAATGTAATCCACTTCCTTAAATATATATTGATGATTCAGTAGCATCAGCAATTGTTGGTAAATTACTAAGTTTAGGTATCCTAGCATTGATAGTGGTTGGAGTTGATGATAAAACTTAAATAATTTCAGATTATCCTGAAATTTTAACTGTATTTTCAGTTGCAATTGGACTAAATCCATATCCAGAAATTTATAAGATTTATCCTTCTGGAGATGCAAAATTTGTATTGATTCTTGTAATTATAGGAAGAACTCTATAAATATTTAATAATAATTACTTTGAGTCGTATGTTCTATCAGAGTAAACTTTTTTTTATTTAATTCCAACATCATTAGTTTGATATCCACTTTATGATTTAATAGTATAATCATAATAACCAGCTTTGATTTCAGCTGAGACTTGACATACAACCTAATCATCCCAGAAACTAATTTCATCTGGATACAAATCTTAAACTGTGAATCTATCACATCTATTTGCTCCCATGAATTGTCCTTCTAAATATTAAACAAGATTGCTTGAGACAGCCCATTTGGCTCTCCAATAACTTAGACTTCTTGGATAGTTTGATCTTGGAGTAACATAAAATAATTTTGGTGTGTAATGTTGAGAGTAACTAAAAAGACATTTAGATGAAATTGATCCACATACTGAGTCTGGTTTACCTAATACCTTGACAACAATTTATAAGCCATATAAGTTATTATCATTTGGATCTGGATTTGTTGTTTTACAGTTCATGAATAACCCATTAACACCTTTATCAGATATTATACAAGGGTATTTCCCTACATAAACTGCATTGTTGCTAGCAGTCTAATCCAATCCTTAAACCTAGATTAATAATTATTTTCTTACTTTCATATAAATTGTTGTACCACCCATAGTAGAACCTTAAAGGGAGGAATTTTCCTGTCCTAAAATAATTGATGCAGCTAAAATCATCACTGCATCAGAAGTTGAATCTTTTGAAGCATCCATCATCATTGCTATAATGTTATTTGATTCATTACCTTCAACATTACTGCCTAATAGCATAAGTAACAAGCTTGTAAGAGCTATGATTAACATCTATTTGTTTTATAAAAAATAATGTTCTTCTACAAAATTCTAGAGCCCTTTTATACCCCTAAATATCTTGATTAATCTCAGTTTTATTTTGCACATACCCAAAACATTATACTGTATCCTGTTTAAATAATTATAGGAAAAAAAGATTAATAGCTTATAGTAGCGATTTTCATCTAATTAGGAGGACTTTGTATATTTAAGCAAAGTTTGAAAAATAAGAATTTTACTTTTTCTAAATTTTACAGCAATAAAATTTTATTTTTCTATGATGTTTACTATACCTGCAATTTCATAACGATTGAACTTATCGTCCTTGTAATCTAATTTCTCCCAAAAATTTTAGCAGATAAGTTGGCAATTTAAAGAATTTCTTTTTAGGAAAATGATTATTAATGAAGCAATTCAAAATATCACTATTACACTCTTCATAAGCGTTCTAACTAAACTAAGAGTCGTAGAGTATGTTATTAATTTTAAAAAACAAAAAATTTTCTTCATTTTCTTCAGTTTATGGCTACAAAAATTTCATTAACTTTAAAGCAGTAAATATTTGAAGACTCAAGGTTTAAGAAGTATGATCGAATTTTAGATTTTTTTGTGATATATTAATCATATACAATTAATCAAACTTCTTTAAATGAACAAAGTTAGAAAAATTATACATAATTCATAAAGTCTTGAAACTTTATGTTCATAGAGTTAGTTTTAAAAATTTTTGAGAGTTTGTTTTACTATAGCTAACTTTAAATTTATCTAAAAAGATTTTTTCATTTATTTGAGGCTTCAACTATTTAAGAAAATTATAGTTCAGATTAAGAGATTTAAAACTCGTAATTGGACATAAGATAATTATTACTCTTAGATTATAAAAACTAATAAATATAAGAGATTCAAAGTAACAAGGACTATGTATATTTTTAAATTAAAGAAAATTTTAAATATGAGATACAAATTATTCGAGGAATATATATTTTAGATCCTTCTTAAGCGTTATAAATAGCATTTAGAACAACATAGAAGAGTTGCTATCTAAAAATAAAAATTAGTTGTAGACTTATAAATCAAAATCGATCATTTCTATAAAATTACTTTTAATATTGATTTTTATTAAATAATTTATTTAAACTCTGAATATATAAAATCAATACTTATTTTTTTTTTAATAAAAAATTAATTAATATTAAAACGACAGTTCCTATTTTGTATTAAATAAATTTTGAAAAAAATATTTGTCTCATTATTTCCTGTTTACTTCTTTTATCTACTCAGCAATATCTAATAGTTCCTTTCTTATTTAAGCTTTTTATTTAAAATCCGACTCTTTTTAAGCTTATCTAATTAGTTACTCATATTTGTCATTCAGTTACTTAAGTTTACTTTCTATTTCATTATTACGAACGGTTAAGGGAGGAGATAATAATTTTTTTTTAGATTGTTATTATGGATGATGTTATTCTTATTGATTGACATACTGTTAATCAGATTTGAATGGAGTAGTTTATTTCATATCCTCTAAGCAATCCTTTATGGCTTATTTTAAAACACTTGATTTTACAAAACTTTACTCAAATCTTGGACTTGTGATTTATGGTGATAAAAAATCTAAGTTCAATTTCGAGACTTTATTATTATTTTGTTATTAGTTATTGCTTTAATATTAATTATTGATAAGCATATCAAATTCAGGGTCTTCTGATTAAGAAATATTTCTTAATCTTTTTTTATTTTATTAATTATTTTTCTCCTCATATTCTAATCTCAATTTACATTGCTGATATTTTAAAGTAATATCCTTTAACTCAATAGTTAATTGATGTATTGTAGACTAGTATTCATTACTTTTATTTAATAATTCTTAAATTCTTTTAGTTAATTAATCTTCTGTTTATTAACGCTACATTTATAGATCTTCCATCATACGTAAATATGCTCTTTCCTTTTCTTCAAGCTATGATCTATAGATCTAAATTTGCTTTTCGTATTCTTAAAGCTTAAATATTGGACATCGCTCTTTATAATCTAAAATATCAGCTTCCAGTTAATGTTTTTCAGTTTACAGTTTTTCATATTTTTTTTCTAATTTTTTAGCATATTATTCCCCTGATTCAACTCTTTATCTCAATTCCATGATTTATTCTAGCTATTTTGAGTTTTCTTCTTATTTTTATTAGTCAACCTTTTACAGTATGCCTCTTTCATTTGCTTTATATGCCTATAATTATCTTTGCAAATGCTCAATTTAATTTTATTAATCTTGCCTATCCTTTTTTCCATCTTCAATCTTTTTTATTAAATCTGTAACTCTATCTTAATATTCCTTTAAATGAACTAATCTCTCTTATTGTAATTAATCAATTTAATAAATGTAATTATTAATATTTTCTTTTTCACTTTGTTATCTCTACAATTACATGGATAACGTTTCATTCTAATTTCTCAACTCAGATATTTACTATAACAAATATTCCTCATCGTTAGATTTTGTTTTATTTGGCAACTATATATCGCATCTTTATGTTTCCATAACCTTAATTTTTTCTTAAAGAGCTTTCATTGCCATTACATAAGCATTAGAAGAATTTCTATAGCTAGAATTGGTTGCATTTCGTTATTCTCGTTAAAACATTTTTATTTTTATAAAAATGATTAAATTTATTGACAGAAAAATAGAGCAAACCTCTTCATATATTAGAGAAGATGAAAAAAATGAAGAAGACTATTAATTTGAATATCCTGTTACTATAAAAAAGCCATTAAAAATTTCCGATTAAGAATACAGTGATGATTATTAGTTATTGAAATAAAATGCTCCAGGAGTAAGCTTAAAATTAAACATTGGGACACCAAAAATTGAAACTCCATCAAAATTACCTTACGTTCTAGATGATAGTCTTCAAAGGTTCTTAATATAATTAATTATAAGGTAAAAAGGAAGAATGAAATTCTATGATGATTCCAAAAAATATGGGTTTTTAGTGCTTGATGAAGATGGAACAGATGTATTTGTTCATTATGATAATCTTTAAGCAGCTGGAATTACGATTGAAAAAATGAAATAATTTAAATTGTGCATTAGTATAAATCTATTCTAAAGATTAGGAATAATCCTCAATATATAAAATTTACAAAAAATGGAGGTCCTTATTTTGAATTTATTCTTATGAACTATATGGGCAAATATAATAAGAGTCGAAAAGCCATAGACCTTTAGTTATTGAATTAAACTTGATTTTATATTAATAATACCCAGTATAATAATCTATTCTTAATTTACATATTTTTCAACCTCTATACTTTATAATTTATTTAATTTTACTTTATTTTTTTAGAGATTTAATTTAAATACCATTTTGCTAATAAACTGAATCTAAATTTATTCTTTTAGATTCAAAAAATCATTATTTTAATCAAACATGGGTTGTTGTATTACCAAAAATTAGATATAGCAAAAAGATTTTCATCATTTCAACAGCAGAATCGACAAAAATATGGGAAATGAAACCTAAAATCAAGAAAAAAATAAATTATTTTAAATTCCAAAGAATCCTATATTACAAAGGAGATTATCATAAAAGAAGGAGAATTTTGTCACCAAATAAACTTACTCTTATTCAGAAAGAAATAAAGATACTTCTAGAAATAATGAATATTTATGAGTTTTCTTTATGTTTCGTAATGATTTTAAAAAAAAGTCTTATACTCACTAAATTTTTCAAGATCTTCTAGCGACTTAATAATGAATGTCAGTTCTATAGATAAAAGTTGTATCAGTTAAAATAAAAGATAAAATAATAGTTTTTCTTCATAACATATTCTAATTTTTTTTTTTTTCTTAGATATAATATTTCAATATAAAATATTTGATTTATAGTCATATTTAGAATCCAAAATTGTTCACTCTTCTAAAAATTTAGAAATTATATTTATTTTACTACAAAATTAAGATATATTATTATTAATACAATAAATAAAAATATTAATTAAATATTAAATAAAAGTTTATTTTGTTTCAAATTATATATGGTTTCTTCTATTATTTTATCGTTTAAAGGATTATGAAATTTGATCAGATAGTTGACAAATTGAATTATTAAATCAAACTATTTAGATTCAAGACCTTTTAAACTTAAAAATATAAGATTAAATTATGATTATAAGAAATATATCATGAAATTCAAAAGCAAGTACAATTTTAATAATTTTTAATTTTATGAAAACAACAAGTGAAAATGATTTTTTCAATATGTTATTCTAAACTTTGATTTTAATTGAATTTTCAATTAATGTATTTGAAATGAATTTTTTAGTTTTTGAAAATTATTGAGATAATTACATCAAAAAAGAATAATAATTCCATTTGTTTAGTTCTTTTGTAAAAAATTATAATGCTTGTTAAGCTAATATTTTATATTTAATTGGCTTCAGCTTCTGATTTTGTTTTTTTGGCTTAATAGTAATACCTGGAAAGATTTAAAATTTCATGCCTTAATGTAAAACTGAATAAACTGAAAAAAATTTCATCAATTTATCTTTACAACATTATATAAAAAGCAATAAAAAAATTAAAAATGGGATGTGTGTCAGGAAAATAAAAATAGAAAAGAGCTTTATTTTAATATGAGATATATGAAATAGCTCAACCTATTGCAATAAAAGAAGAAAAAAGATATGATGTTAACAAAAATCCAATAGTTTAGCGAAGAGCAAAAAGTAATTCTTAAACTCCTGACTAACAAAATAGAACTAAGCAATATTCCGACTAGCTTCCAATTACCAAGCCTTAATTTTGAGAAAGCTTAATTAAAAATAGAGTTATACACTTATAATCTAAAAATCTATATATTTTAATCTTGAAAAAACATTCTCAACAAAAGATTTTTGTTCACTAGGTATTTTTGATAACATTTATTTTTCTATCACTCTTTATTTCATTTCCTAAATTTTTTCTCATTTTTTTGTTTTGCTAAAAAAATCTATAAAAACTAGAATATATCTGCTACTTTTAAAAAATTATTCAAGAAATTTATCGTGGAGAATCCTACAATCCTTCACTTAATTTAATTTACCCTAGCTGAATATAGGATCAAATCAACTAAATTTAAACTTTAAGAATTGAAAAGTAAAAAAGAAATTGGAAATATTGCTTATAGGTTGAAGGAATAACTTGTACTTTGAAAGTTTCTCAAATATTTAAAAGTTTGGAATTAATAAAAATATTCATGAATTTATTTCCATTCACTAAAAATTAAATTTAGACAATAATTATACATATCTGAGACTAAAATTCTTCAACTTGATGTTATGAGATAATTATGATATGTTGTAATTTAAAAAAAATTACTTGAAATGAATTTCATAGAATTAAATAATAAATACTGATGATTTTATTAAACGACTATGTAGATTCTAATAATGTTGAAAGATCATTTGGATTCTGGTGATACAATAAATTTATATTATTAGTTCGATATAAGTAGATTTAATCGATATAATTTTGTTATTTTAAATTTATGTCAGAGATATTTATTTTTAAGTCTTTCATATTTATATCAGAATAATTTGAATTTTTAAAATAAAAAAAATTATGGTAAATCAATTATTAAACTTTTGATCAAAACAAATAAAAGAAATTTCTGTACCATTCAAATTATAATTGAAAAATTAAACCAAGATCTAACTAGTACTTATTAATAAATTGTAATGATAATTTATGATCTGATTTATAATTAATTTAATTCATTAATATAAATAATAAATAATTATTTTTAATTTTTATTGGATGAATAAATTTGAATAAGAATATCTATTGTAATTCATTAGTAGAAAAGCAGGATGAAGAATTGATTAATAAATGGATTTTGAATTTCCCTAATTGTTAAACCCAACTAATAATGAACAAAATGTTCTAATTTCTGAGTAAAAGAATGTTTTGAATAGTAAATTATTAACAGCTCGTCATGTTTGTTAAGGAGCTTATAAAACTAGTGAAAAATGAGCATTAGCTTTTATAAAAGACTTTTTATATTTATATAATTAGAGATTTAATAAAATAATCACCATTGGCTTAGATTGAAACAGCCTAAGCTTTTGCATTTTTATTAAATACAATGATAACTCTAGAAAAAAGAGTGGTATTACATATAAGTGATTTTAATATTATTGATTCTAAATCAATAAATTAATGTTGGAAGAAATTAATTAACTGATAGTGCTTTATCAAATTTAAATAAGCAATTCTAATCTGTTAAGTGGAGTGCTTTAAAGAGTCATTATAATTAAATAACAGATGTGGGAGCAAGAATATTAGGAAAAGTATATATAGTTGGGATAAAAATAGTTCCTTTAAAGTTTACTAATTTTAGTTAATCTATAATCGAATTTGAATTCAACTCAGATTAATCAAAAAGGATTGAACTTTATAATTAATTAATTGGGTCCATAAGTTAATGTTTAAATCTAAGCAAAATAATCTGATGTAACTGAAGAAGTATAGTTTGGTTTTTTTTTGAATTGATTAAAGGAGATTCATTTCTGAGGAAAATAACAATTTCTTAAGAGAACTGTTTTCTTTTTATTCTAAAAAAGAACTTTGTCATTTTCTAAGATAAATTCAAAGAATATATAAAATTGAATTTTATATTTTTATGAATAATTAAATTAAAATACTTTAATTTGTGATTTTAAGGAATTTTCCACTAATTTTGTTTGAATTTCTTATTTTTATTTTCATTCTTCTACATAAATTGACGAATTGAAATTTGCTTATAAAAACATGATTCTTTAGTTGTGTCACGACCTTCAAGTATTCAGTGAATATATAATGAGATCTTGAACTTGATTGATTCTTTTGAGTTGAACTTACTTATCGAATGAATTTGGCAATAATTAGTATAAGGATTTTCAGTGGGTTTATAAAAATATAGGAAAGTAGTTTTGGAACATGCAAAATACTAAATTTAGATTGTTATTACTATCTTACTAGTTAGATCATTTCTCTAATATTATTGATTAAAATTAATAAGATTTATAATCTCTTATTTTAATATAACTAAGAGTAGATGCTTAAATTATTAAGATTACTTATTGATTTGTTTCAATCTTAAGTATACCTCAAATTGAGATTTCATATGCAGTTAAATATTATTTATATATTTAAGTATCAAACATATATTTTAGTTTTTGAGATTACTCTTTTCAGCATGCTTGCATCTTTTTCTGCAATTTCATAAATTTCTTAAATGTTTTATCTGCACAAAAAACATTCTTTACTTTTCTAAGCCATTTAAATTGCACATTAGTAACATATTCCTCCATGACCACAATTCATCAAAACTGCATTTGAAGGTTTCTCACAACAAATTATACATTTGCTATTAGATTATTATTGAGCATCTTAAGATTTCTAGACATTTCTATTATTAGTATTTCGTTCAGTGTCAATTTCATTATGGTTTGTAAATTTTAATTTTACTATTTCAGGATCCTTAATTTCCCTAAAATAGGCTGATGAAAATTTCTACAAGAATATTTAAGCTTTTGTTGGTTCTTTTTTAATTTTTTGATTTTTATTTTAACATGGAGAGTTAGGAGATGATTCTGGAGATTCTATTTAATTTAGAGACAAAACAAATTATACAATATCAATGAACAAATATTTAGAAATTACACTAAAGATTAAAACATTAAAGGATATTAAAATGTACATAATATAATCTCCAAATTCTACATCTAAATCAACTCCTAAAATATTTAAGGTATTGATAATCCAAACTCCAGCAATTAAACTACTTACTGTACTGATATATAAAATCCATATTAGAGTTTTAACTTATGTTAAAATTACACAATACTTTCACTTTTATAATTCAGAATTTATTATCGATTATAAATGCTGATAATTTTGGAAATTAATATCAATAAAATCGTGATTGTTGTTCCAACTAAACCACTTAGGAACATCCAATACCACCAAAAAGCTTGTGTCCAAGACCAATTCACATAAGAATTCAATTTCAAAGTTATACATAACACAGAAATTATTAAACAAAAACGATAGAATATTATTGTCTAATATTGTATAAGGTTTAGTAAATTACCAATCTAATCATGGTTGAATGTTCAAATTAATATTCTGAACTTTTACTATGACTTATATTTAAAATGAAGGATAGAATCAAAAATATATTACAGTAGATGTAATAGTTTAGATCTAGATAATAAATGATTATGAGATAAATCTAAAAATAGAAGATCTTTACTTAGAGTAAGATGTGAATAAGGTGATCAAATTTCTTCTAAGTTTTCCCTTCAGTAAATTTTAACAATTATACTATTTCATTTAGTATAGTTAATAAAAGTGGTAAAGCCATGGGGGCACTCTTATACTGAAATAGTGTAAAAAGAAGAATAAATAAGTTTTAGTAAAGGTACTTGAAACAAAAGCACTTTAAGGTAAATTCCACATCATCTCTTAATAAATATAAATTATTGTTTACTTTTACATATTTTCAATATTGTTATTTAATTTAAATTTACTAAAAATGAATTCCTATATGCGTTTAAAACCTGTATTTGCAACATTTTATCCAGATCAATGTAGAAATCATTCAAAGGAAAATAGAATTAGTTCAGGATAAGCTTAAAGTAGATTGGATGAAAAATCTTAATCTGTAGATAAATTTAAACATCAAGTCATTTAATTGTAAAATTAGTAAAATGATTTAAATGAGCATATGTAAATGCAAATTAGTAAATTGATGGAAAGAATGAATAATGCAGAATCACATATAGCTAGAATTTATGAGAGTGGATGGATTGATGCAATTAATATTGTTTAAGAAGACATGCACAAATTAGAATTTCAACTTTAAAATGTTTAAAAAATGATTATCGTTGAAGAGGAGAAATCATAATAATTTTATATTGAACAAATCAATTAAATGAAATATACTGTATTAGATTAGATTAATAGTATGGATTCAGAAATTAATGTTAAGATAGAAGATATAAGAATCAAAATGGAGGAATATAATCAAGAATTCAAATCTAAATTCAATGAAACTAATGATATAGATAAATACTAAAGATTTAATGAAGAAATATCGTTATACTTAAAAAATAATAGTTAAAACCTCACTCTCTCACCAAAATACAAAAGTAGATCATAGAAGTTATCTTTGCCTTAGATAAATGAATTAGAAGATTCCTAATAGCTTTAATCCTTTTAGTTTTTATAATCTCAATCCCTTTAGTATTAATTAGACAATGAAGGATACTTACTTTTAAATGGTGAACACATATACGATAGCATAGGTAATAAATAATAATTATCAAATGATTAAATAAAATATCTAAATTTAATACCGAAATGATGTATATTAAATAATTTCATATTTTTTATGAACTCATTTTTTTTAGACTACCACTCTCTACTTTACTTCTTTAACTAGTATGTAAACGCATTGTTGATTTTCTTCTTAATCTACTTGTTAGAGTTTCATCCATCTTATCAGTTTTAATTTCATCTTCTTTAAAAAGATGAATTCTTTAACATAAGCTTTCAGGGATAAATTTAAATAATATTGAAAAAACTATTCCGAAAACTGCAAATCCTAAACATAATAAATGTTAGGATAGAGTTAAATGAGAAACCTTAACATATTTACCACCATACTAAATAAGCAAAATCTACACTAAAACAGTTATTGTTTGAACAATCCAAAATAATGGATTATTACAAAAGTTTGAAAATGGGTTTTTAGTATGATAATCTAATTATCTGCATGAAATTGAATTGAATACTTACATTAAAACAAAAGCTTAGAAAAAGATACTCATTTACACTACATTTTTTGAATACTTATGATAAAATTAAAATTATTACTTTCTAACCAATAAGTTCATTTGGAATAGAACAATCAATGTATTTTGGTAATAAGAATAGAATAAATGAAAGAACTACTATTTAATACAAACTAGCCCCAACTATAGTCCTATACATTGTAGGGGATACAATTTGATCTGTTCTTTTATATGGTTCTCTCTAAAGCACTTTAATTGATGGAGGTTCTGTAGCCAAAGCCAAAGATGCAAAAGTATCCATAATTAGATTTACCCATAGCATTTATATAGCATTTAAGGGAGATTGTTTCAAAATTACAGCACCAGTAAAAGACATAAATAATGCAACTAAATTAACAGTTAATTAAAATTAAATAAATTTCCTAATGCAATCATAGATATTTCTACCCCATTTCATAGCTAATCGAATAAAATCAATAATAATACCTGTAATGATTGAATTAAAATTATCATCTATAAGAATAATATCGGCTGCATCCTTAGCAACATCAGATCCAGTGATGCCCATAGCAAATCCAACATCAGCTTTTTTTAAGGCAGGTGCATCATTTGTACCATCTCCTGTGACAGCCACAACATTGCCTTCTTCAATTAAACCCGTTACTAATAAATATTTATCTTCAGGAGAAGCTCTTGCCATAACTCTCATTTCTTTACTAATTTTAGAAAAGATTTGCAAATTTTTAATTTTTTTAATTTCTTTTCCTTCTTCATTTTTGACAGTGATTAATCCTCCAACTAAATCTCTAAACTTTTTACCATCAATAACTTCAAATTCTTATTAAGCTCTACCTTTTTCTAATATCCCACATTCTTATGCAATTGATTATGCAGTAATAATATTATCTCCAGTGACCATTCTAACCATAACTCCAGATTGAGTACATAATTTAATTGCATCAGGAACATCATATCTTATTGGATCTTTGATACCACATATGGCAATTAATGTTAAATCTTTATCTAAATCATCTTCTGGAATTTGATGAATGTGAGCTTTCATATTAACAGTTGAACCTTTAAAACTAGAACTTTATGGTTCAAAATCTCTGTAAGCTATAGCAATAGTTCTTAAACATTAAGATGCATAATTTTCAATAACATTATGTAAGATATCCTCTTTTTTTGTTTTATCTAACAATTATTCCTATCCATTCTTTGAAATGTATTTAAAACACTATGCTAATATAATTTCTGATGCTCCTTTAGTATATATTCTAACAGTTTAATTTTTAGGATTTAAGACAGCAGTACTCATCTTCTTCCTTTTACTACTGAAAGGAATCTATCTTAAAATCTTATCATTTTGTCTATAATTAGAATATTTAAATCCAAATACATCAGCTAACTCTATTAAAGCACATTCAGTTTTATTACCAATTTAAATCCACCTATTAGAATTTTTATCTTTAGTAGGATTAGCATTCGAATTATAGCAAATAGATTCAACCATAATTTCTATTGTAGGTTTTGATAGTATATTATTTTAATCAAATTATTGTTTCGAAATTGAATTATTTTCACACCAAAGAGAAGTAACTTACATGATATTTTAAGTTAAAGTTCCAGTTTTATCACTACAAATATTATTGGCTCCTCCCATAATTTCACAAGAAGCAAGATTTTTCACCAAATTTTATTCATCCTTCATCTTTCCTACTGAATAAGCTAATGCTATAGTCACTGCTAGAGGCAATCCTTCAGGTACTGCAACAACAATGATAGTTACCCCTATCATAAATGCTTCAATGATAAATGATAAAGTCTTCAAAGTCATGAAATCATGTTTATGTTGTACAAATACATCATATACTAAATGTCCCATCAAAGCTATAAATGTTAAGATAGCTATTAATGTTCCTAATTTACCTATATCCTCAGCAACTCCTTCTAATTTTTATTACAGAGGTGTTGGAGGATTATCTTAATTAAGTAACAATTTCAATTAGCCTTACACAGTATTTTGACCCACTTACAATACAAGCAAATAACCATTACCATCTAAACATTTAGTACCACTAATCAAAAAAGGACTACAATGATGGTTATCCAAAGATATTTAAGATTACTGGATCATTTCATTAAATGGTAATTTTTTAATTTCATCAGATTCTCCTGTCATAGCAGATTCATCTACTTTAACCTAAGATCCTTGTATCATTAAACCTATATTAATCTAATTAGATTTATACCATCAACTGCAAACATATCTCCAATTCCAAATTAGAGAATATCTCCTACAACTATTTCTTTAACAGAAATCTCTACTATTCCTCCACGTACTACTTAGACCAATCCATCATCCAATTTTCTACGTAATTACTAAAATTGTCTTTCTTTTAAATAATTATTACCAGCTGTTATTGAAACTATCAAAAATACAGCAAAAAATATTGTTGCACTAAATAACTATAAACAATATTCAAATACCCTTCAGTCCATCCAGTTGCCACACCATCATTGATCATTCCTATTATTGTACTAACAAATGCTGCCAATAATAAAATTTATAGCATTGTATCTCCAAAACATTCCAATATCAAATCACATAAAGATTCTGACTCTTTCTCTATAGGATCATTATTCCCATATTTCTCTCTATTCTCTATTACTTAAGCTTCTGAATCTATTCCTTTCTATCTTTATTAATTCAAACTAAATACCAGTTAATGAGATTTCAATTATTTTGCTAATCCTTGATCTCCTCCCCATTTCTACACTTTCTACAGACTAGATCCATCATTTATTGATGCTAATTAAAATAAGTCTTTTAAATCATCAATCCCACGTATTTATTCATAATCCTATTATTAGTCTAACTATTTTGAATATTATTGTTTCATTATTATTAATAATTAACCGATTTCAAATTTCCAATAAACTTTTCATAAAAGAATCCTTAAATAAAATATTTCAATTCAAAGAGTGCATCTAGTAATAAGTTAATATATATTCAATTATCAATATTCAATAAAGAATTACAATTATATAATATTTTACAACAAAATTAAGAACTTTTATATAATATATCAATTTCAAATAATCTATAGAAGAACTTAATTCCATAAAATGATTTATCCCTAAATGATAAAGAATCTGAAATGTTTAATTATAATTATTATTAGATTATAAATTAAAACTAAAGATTGTAAAGCCAAAATATCAATCTTCTAATATCCCTTTAATCAAATTTCTAAATAATAAATCTTCTTTAAAAAACAGTTTTTTGGAAGTTTTCTATGGTCTCAAGTAATTTAAATACATAAACTACCTATTTATGAACTAATCTCTAAATTTCATTTTAGTCGTCTGGATTGTAAATAATTTAAGATCTAGTTAAATGATAAATAATATTATCAATTTTTATCAGATGAATTTATCGTATTTAAATATAGATATAAATTATCATGATTCTAAATATACTGAAATTTTATTATCAAAAAAGGAGGAATAATTTTGCATGGCTTTGATTTACTTATTTTAATGATTTTTATTTACTATACTCACATTCTTTATCACTTATTCATTTACAACCAAATTTAAATTGCTGAATTAATATCTATTAACTTTAATTAATCATATTTAAAATGAAAAAAGAGTATTTTTTATTTATTAAATAAGCATTTTAAATATTGTTGGCATTTGAACATTTGAGTTTTTGTATAATATTTAAATACTCTGTATTACGAGACTAGGGTTTTTAATTCCATATCTACATTTATTCATGAAATGAGTTAAATCTTTCAAAAGTACTATTTATTTTTTATATATAAGGACCAACATGGCACTATTTAGAATATCAATTTTTTGTTTTCTAATATTTATTCTTTTTAATCCATTCCAGTGATCCTAATAAAGCTAAAAGAAATATTTTCATTTAAAACTGTATATTGATTAATGCAACTTGAATCTTAATAATAGAATATAATAAAACAATTTCTATTAGAAGTTTATTCTTTATATCTAAAATTGCTAGAATCATGTTGAATAAACAAAGGTAATTAAATGTTGTTTAATTTTTATTAGAAAATAAGATATATAAGAGTAGTTTTGAATTACATTAAATGAAAATATATTCCTACGGTTGTCAGGTTATTAAGATTGCTATTGTGATCCTATTCCTCTTCAAATGATTAAATAATTTTGCTTAATTAAATTAGCATCTGGAAAAAAAAGATACAGAATTTTATTTGATTTTAAGTGAATATATAAGTCACAATTGATTTATTAAAACTAAATATTTATTTAAATAAGAAATAAAGATTAATAAAATATTGGAAGAAAAAATATCTTTGAAAGAAGTAATAGACCAACTTAAAAATTAATTAGATTGTAAGAGATTTTTATTTATTATGCAACAAGAAATAGAATATGTTGTTTTAAATTTCAGATAAGTTATCAGATATTTAATGATCGATCAACTTAAGTGATTCTGAATTTAATTGTTTGACTTAATGAAATCAAAAAAAGAAATAAGTTTAATGATATTTGATAAATGAAAAACAACTTTGCTGGAGAGAAATCAAAGTTTATTACTCAAAATAAAAATTTTTATTCTTTTATTAATTAGAAAAAAACTAAAATTTATAATTTTTTATCTGTTATAAAATATTTCAAAAATTTAAATCTCATTATCAAAACAATAGAAAGGGCTGTGTTTCACTTAATAAAAATTAATACCCACACAGAGTACTATCTTTAAATATAGGGAAATATAATTTTTTATTGAAAAATAAAAAAATGATAATTCATGATTAGCATCAATGATCCATTAATCATGTTTTACAATAATAATTATGTCGTCTTAGGTAAAAATAACCATATAATCGATGTTATATGAGTGGCTTTGATTTTTAAAATTATGTGTTAATATCTATGATGAGTATTGAATAAATTTAATGTTATTAACAAATTATTGTTTATTAGAGCGCCATCGATGCAATTACAAGTTATTAATTCCTTAATTTTCTAGACTTAAGAAAAAAGCATAAGACTATTAATCATTCCTGACTGTACAAGTAGAAGTGATCAAAAAAGTCAATCTGTATAAGATGAGGGTCCTAAGAAAACTTTATTAAGACTTGCAGACTAAGAAGTACCCTCTTCAATAGGATTTTTAATGTCAAATTAAAAAATACAGGATACATATTAATAGCTCTAGTTAGATTAATAAGAAAACGATTTCTAATAATAGAGTAATAACAAAAAGAAAGGTAAATATTTTGCCATATTTTTATTATTATTTTATTAGAAAGAAAAAAACATCACAGCCTCAAATATTTAAGTTGCAAGGTTCACAGTCTCGTTGGATCACTAAGAGAAACTACTTATAAACAGATGGCAGATTTGCTTGCTTCAGAAATAAGTAAATCAAGTTTATCTGTAAATATAATAATTAAATTTTTATATTTTCCAGTCAGAAAGTAAAAACCTTAAACGTAGAGTTTATGATTCTATTAATGTAATGGTTGCTCTAGGAGTCCTAGAAAAACAAAAAAAGATCATAACAAAAGGATCAATGTTTCAATAGAATCATATGACAAGTAGATATGTTAGAGATGTTAGAGACAAATACGAAATGTTAAGAGTAAATTATGAAATAACAATTTAGCAATAACAATTTGATGAACTTAAAAGGAAGAAAATGTTATTTTAAAAATTGACGGATTAGGCAAAAAGAATAAATGCTTTAATTGATCTAAATAAGTATATTAATAAAACAATCACCATTTTAGACAGCTCTAAAAAGATGAATCAGACTTCATACAAGGTTAATAAAGTAAAATCTATCAATTTCCAATCATGATATTTAAATTACCATAAAATGCAAAAGTAATATAAATGAATATATAATAGCTTAATATCATACAGATCGATGGAAAATCTTAGATCTAAATTAGGTCAGATCATGAAATTCAAATTGTGGGAGATTATGATATTTTGCCTTTAATCAAAAGGGTTGAAGAAGCAAAAGATAAAATAATCCCTGGACCAATGTTGAATTTATGAATAACTATTAAACAAAATTTTGTCATAATTTTCTTACTAAAACCATAATTGTCCTCTTATTAGGATTTTTAGAGCAGCAATATGTTTTTTTTTAAATTTTAATTAAGCGGGAAAATTTTATTTAAAATTCAATACTAAATTATAATTGATAATAAATCAACACAAACCTCTATTAATATATTAATTTTTAGTTAATACTCTTAAGAATTAATTATTATATTAGGATTCTTTGATTTTTTTCAATATTTCATTTTATCTTTTGACAGTAATTACAAGATTATGCATTTTTATAATTTTTCATTTTACTTAGAAATTAGATATTGTTTTCAATCTAGTATTTATGATTTACATGAAATTAAATTATTCTTTAAATTCAAATATGCTAAAAATAATGTATAAAATTTTTTTATTTAAAATCTATCAAAAAATTATGGTTTCGTGTCTCCTACAATCTCTTTATTTGTATTCTACAAGTTCTAGAAATTTTATGATAATTAATTTTTATAATATAATTACATGTAAAAATAATTTGAAGGATTTAATGATATGGAAGATTATTACATAGAAGTTGAACAAGTTTTAAGCAATGTAAATTTTTCTATTAAATAGTCTTAGAATATCAATCCTTACGATATTAAATGTCCAATTTGTTTAAATGTATATTTGGATCCAATATCATGTGACTCTTGTATGAATCATTTTTGTAAAAAATGCCACCAATTAAAGTAAGTAAGTATATGTTGATAATGAGAAAGAGTACGAAATGCCCTCTATGTAACCGTTAAGGTGAGACAAGAAAAGCATTTCCACTTTTAAGATAATTATTGAGTTAGTTAAAAATAAAATGTCATCATTATAATTAAGGTAAGAGTATTGTAATAATTTTAGGATGTAAAATAATAATTGATTATGATGCTTATGATAAACATGTAAAATAATGCGATTTTAGAGAAGAAGTTTGTGGATTGATAGATGGTAAATAATAATGCAATGTTGTTAAATTTAAAAAAGATATGTCAAGACATAGAAGTTTTGAATGTAATTATAGATAATGTGAGTGTTAACACTGTCATTAATTTGTAAAATATAATAATAAGAATTCTATTAGTTTAGTAACTTTAAATTATAAATGCATGAGCAAAAATGTGAGGAGGCTATAACTAGATGTTCGAAATGTCATATTTAGATTAAAATAAAGGATTAAAATAATCATCTTGATATTTGTGATAAGAATATTGAATAATGTGATTATTGTCAAGAAGATTATTCAGTATAATAATTGAATATACACAAATATGAATGTCCATTACGACCTGTTTGTTGTCTTGGTTGTTCATAATAATTTACTCTTAGTGTTTACTATATCCATTAAACTAAATGTCCAAAATTTCCATTAATATGTCCAAATTGTAATCAAAAAATAATTAGAGAATAATTTAAAAATCATGAATTTAAAGATTGTTTGATATAAATAAAGTCATAACATGATAAAGAAATTTAAAATCTAATTTAAAAATAATAATAACTTGAAATTGAATTAAATAAAAAAGATAAACTTTTAAAGTATAAAATAAAATCTAATTTAAGATTTTCAAATCGTTATAAAGATCCAGATATATTTTTAAATCTAGATAAAACAGTAGCATTTGTAAAGTAAACAACAAGTAAAAAGAAAGATAGATTTGTTTTATTTAACAATCCAATTTCAGAATAAAGAAAATATTGGAAATTTAAGTAATAATTTATTTAATGTACTTAGATGTTCTTAAGTTAAAAGTTCATGGTATGCAGTTGGTATAACAGAATTATCTACATTACATTCTTTAAAAAGATATCAAGATATAGGACATGGATCCTATTTAGTATCTTCAAATGGAACTATGTATAATAATCATAAAGATGATCAGAATTCAAAGGAAAGTGATTTTTAAATCAATACTAATGATATTATTGTTATCAAAGTAGATTTAGATGAAGGCAAATTGATTCTTATTAATACAACTTAAAATTTATCGCTCGAAATAGAGGCAGCTTTTGAAGGAAAGGAATTTTTTGGTTGTGCTTGTCTAAGAACTGCTGGAGATGAAATTCAAATAATTTAATGATTTATATTAAAAATAATTTAAGCTAAAATTTTAGTCAAATTTTTTTAAACAAATAGACTTCTATATAATTCAAAAAGAAATATATAAATTGATGTACCTTCATAATAATTCAAATTAGAGATCTCAAAAAAATAGAATATTTGATTCCCCAAATACAGGATAAATATCTTTATCAAGAGACCTATCAACTAATTTCACTCCTGTCTAATATGAGGAAAGCTAAAAAAATTACATTAAAACATCTTAATTTTCACTAAACACGTCAGTAAATTAATCAATTTAAGAAACTTAATTCTAATAACCAATTTAAGCTGAAATTATTATGGGAATATAAAATACTCCATAATTTTTCAAATAGCATAACATTATCAGAAGAGAACTTGGAAAATATATAAATGAAAGTGGTTAATTAAAAATTGATGAAGGTTAATCTGAGGATATGGCATCAAGTGAAGAAAGCCTTAATTCTATTCCTTAAGTTATTAGTAATTTTAATAATTTTGAAAGAAAAGTCAATAAAAAACAATAATTTTATCCAAATAACACTTTAAATTAATAGGAACATCCTTTAAAGGTTTCAGATTTAAAGTCAGAACCTATTTTAAGAGATACTTAAATATAAGAATATCAACTAGAAAGTAGTAATAGCTCTTAAAGAATTAATTAAAATATTTTTACTTAATAAAAAATATAAGAAGATTAAAAAAGTCCAGAATCTATTTAATCTATGAAAAATGATAACTAAGAATCCTATTTATCAAACCCTTAACAAATTAATTAATAATCATTTGATTAATCAAATATAAGTTAATGGTCAATAGAATAGATTGAAATCTTAATTCAAGGAATTTAGATAACTAAATATAGTAGAAAAACCCTTTTTGGTAAAAAGAAAAGGTTATTGTAAGTTTCTCCTGATTTAAAGTTATTAGTTTTTAGAAATTTAGAACATAAAATTACAAAGATTTACTCAATAAATAAAATTACTAAAATAGAGAAAGGTGCCAATACAGAAACATTTAGGCTATACAAACCAAAATCAGATATTTTATGGTTATGCTTTTCAATATTTCTTGATGAGAGAACAGTTGATTTAAGTGTATAAACTTAAGAATAATTAAGCTAAATTATAGACAGCCTTTATGGATTAATTTAGAAAAATTGATTATTAATATATATTGATATTAATATTACTTAAAAATTTGTTTTTTACAATTGTGTTACTAAGTAAAAAAAAAAATCAAACCACAAAAGCTAGAAAATATTTATTCCATCTACCTTTAATTCTAAGTCTTAAACCATAAAAATAACAACAGGAATTTAAAATCTTTTATTTAATCATTTAATATGGAATATTATTTTCATTTAAAAACTGCAAAATCTTATAAATTATTTTTATCATATAATCCTATATATATATTGATTAAAAAAAATTATTTAATAATGCATTTCTATTTTTTTTTTCTTTGTCTTTTAATTAAAAAAAAAGGAGTTGTTGAATACTCATAAAAAAAGTATCAATGAATGATTGTAAATAAATTTTTTTTTGTTTTAAAATGATATTCATAGTAATTTGTAATGATAAAGAGCAAAAGTTGAGAAATTCTGTTAAACATTTATTATCTATACTTATTATTAAAAATGCATTTAAGCAAATAATAACTTCTCAATTAGTAAATTCCATCATTTCAACATGCAGAAGGAACATGTCTTTGTGGTGTTTGCTTATGTGGAAATTGTTTATGTAAACCATAACCAATTAAGCAGTCTTACTTTAATAAATTGAGTAGTGTTTATGAAACTGATTTCTAATAAAGATATTCAGTTTTACCAAAAGCTAGACCAATTATAATAGAAGAGCCTAAGAGAAGAAGAGCTTTTTCTTAAAATTCAGTTTACGATGAAGATTTTACTCCAAAATAAATATTTCAAGGTGAAAACTATGAAAAATCACATTTACCATAATTAAGAATACCTTTTGCAGGTTGTAATTCATATGCCTTACAGTATCCTAATAAATGTACAGACCCACCTTAATAGCTTAGACCAGTAAACTAAATCTAATTACTTCCTGCTAAAATGGATAATATCTCTTAATATCAAAGAGAGTATAAGTTACGATAACAATAAAGAGAATATGAATTCTCAAATTTCTCGAAAATTATGAATAAAAGATTGCATATTAATAGTAAGGATAAATTAGTGTATTCAAATTCAAGTTACCAAGACTAATTTAAGCCAAGATAGTCTATTGGAACAATAAAGTTGCCTGCACATTAATCAAGTTTACCATTTGGAATCAGCAATATAGGAATAAATCCATTCGTAAGTCAATCAAAATTTGAGTATGCCACAAAATTTTAGAGCTAATGTGAAGCTAGCAAAAAAATTCAAGAAATTTGTAGTAAAACCTGAATATAAAATGAAATTTTTAGAAACAATAATATTATATTTTCAATATATTCATTATCATTAATATTTATATTGAATAGCGTCATTTAATAAGTTATAAATTTCTTACCATTAACCTACATACCTACAATTATTTTTATTGATTTGTCTGTATTAAATTTAGATTGCGACTAAACTACGTATTATAAGTTTAATGATTAATATTATTAATTGTATAAATATTATATTATTTAACCAAAATAATTCTTAATTAAATATGGTTAAAAATATTCTTAAAATAAAAAAATGAAGATTTTTTGTAATTTTTTAGAATTTAACACTAAGTAGTATTGTTCTTAAATTAGAATGATTAATGGATAAGAGATTCTTTCATTTTAATGACTTTTTTATTTTGGATAAAAAATGTTTTTAAAAGATATTTTAAGAATAATTTAATAGCAAGGAAGTGAAAGGGGATGCTTAAAATGGTTTCACTCTAAGCATATATATTCAAAATTTAAATATTAAAACCTAAATTAATCTATTTTTATACTTGTTATTTTTGATATTTTTAGTTTAGATATTTTTGGGGGATATTTAAGGATCTCCGAAATTTTGAAAGACTCATTTATTTTTATTTCTAATAAAAAAATTATGTATATCAGCATACTTACAGCGATGCTATTCATGCTTTTAAGCAATCAATCATAAGGTTAAAAAGTTAGTATTATATTGTAGCCATGATGGATGCAACGATGGATTCAACAACTGACTCAGTAATTATTCTTGCTGTTTCGACAATTTTGGGATAAGAAAATTCCACTCCCATAGGTTCCTTAGCTGGAGGCACAACATTATACATGAAAGTAAAAATATCATTTAACAAGATTAGGTTTCAGGATTAGATTAGACTGCTAGCAACAATGCAGTTTATATAGGGAAATACCCTTGTATAATATCTGATAAAGGTGTTAATGGATTGTTCATGAACTGTAAAACAACAAATCCAGATGCAAATGACAATAACTTATATGGCTTATAAATAATTGTCAAGGTATCAGGTAAGCCAGACTCAGTGTGTAGTTCCACTTCCACAAAGTGTCTTTTTAGCTACTCTTAAAATTACACACCAAAATTATTTTATGTTACTCCAAGATCAAACTATCCAAGAAGTCTAAGCTATTGGAGAGCCAAGTGGACTGTCTCAAGCAATCTTGTTTAATATCTAGAAGGACAATTCATGGGAGCCAATAGATGTGATAGATTCACACTTTTAGATTTGTATCCAGATGAAATTAATTTTTGGGATGATTAGGTTGTATGCTAAGTCTCAGCTGAAATTAAAGCTGATTATTATGATTATACTATTAAATCATAAAGTGGATATCAAACTAATGATGTTGGAATTAAATAAAAAAAAGTTTACTCTGATAGAACATACGACTCAAAGTAATTATTATTTTAATTTATTTTTAGAGTTCTTCCTATAATTACACGAATCAATACTAATTTTGCATCTCCAGAAGGATAAATCTTATAAATTTCTGGATATGGATTTAGTCCTATTGCTACTGAAAATACAGTTAAAATTTCAGGATAATCTGAAATTATTTAAGTTTTATCATCAACTCCAACCACAATCTATGCTAAGATACCTAAACTTAGTAATTTACCAACAATTGCTGATGCTACTGAATCATCAATATATATTTAAGGAAGTGGATTACATTACACTAGATGGGATATTTCAGGATTAAATTTAGATTGTCCTGCTTTTAGAAATTAAATCATTTCTAACTAAGCATAATTGGACAGTAGAATATAATTTGATGGAATTCATCCAGAACCTGATATCTAAAATTCATTTGGAGAATATTATGGATAATATTTCAGAGGATTCTTCAAAGCCCCATTTACAGGAAATTATAAATTTTATATTGCCTCAGATGATTGCTCTCAATTTTATATTTAAACAACAGAAATTAAAAAACCTATTAGACCTGACACAGCAGCAGCCTCTAATTATTGGAATCCATACAGAAATTATTGGTATGAATATTTGAGTTATTCTTACACACCTAAATCAATATCAGAACCTGTTTCTCTATAAGAGGGTGAATTTTATTATATTGAAGCTTATCATCTAAATGGTGGATCAGGTGGACATTTTACTCTTTCTTTGGAAATTGAAAGTGCTACTAGAAAATCAAATTCTTTAAATAGTATATATTAAATTTAAACATCCTACACCCCTATTAAAGAAGTCATAGAATTTACACTTTATAATTCAAATGGTAACACTTTATTAGCTGGTAAATATTAACTTCAATTCACATATGGTACGAAAACAACACCATAGACAGGTGTATATTACTAATATACAACTGGAGATTTAGCATCAAATGCCAATGAAAATACATTTAAAAACGCATTATAAAACTGTGGTGGGGGCTATATAGTAAGTGTTACAGCCACAAAATTAGATAATACAGGAACCCCTTTAGATGATTCAGCTACATCATTTGCTGGATAAAAATATACTATAACATTTGATTCTCATAGAGGTACTACCTAATATAGGGCACTTCCAAAAATTGTTTCATCAACACTTAATGGAGGAACAGTCTCATAAAAGATAGAAAGAACCTAAGAACCTGCTGATCCAATAAGTGGAACTTTCTAATTATAAATGACCATTAATAATATTGAAAATTTATTTTAAGTATCAAAGACTAACTTTGATATACCATTTGATGCATCATCATCATTAATTGCTGATAATATCGAAAGACTTACTGGATAAAGACCATTTGTTTGGACTACTGGAAGAGCTTAAGATGGATGGTCATGGTATATTGTATTGAAATCATATGTGGCAGAACTTACTGCCTTTGACATCACTACTAAACAGCTTATTTCAGGAAATGGAGAAGTTTCAGTTACTGTTACTAAACCCAGAGAGGATAGTAACAATCTCTTATTTGAACCTATTCCAAATGAATTATTATTTACTTATAGTCAACACCCATAAGTTTAAGTAGAAGTTTAATACGAATTAAAAGAAAATGGAGTTGTTGTTGAAACAGAATAAATATTAGCTGGTTGTGAGGAAGTATCTGCATGTGATTTTACTTTAAGTGATCAAAAAACTCCAACTTTGACTGCTTATTCATTTTCAGGTTCTTAACTATCTTTAACTTTATCAGAAGGAGCTGGTTTAACAATAACTAAAACAGACTTAGAAATATCATATGCAGGTGCTGATTGTACAAATATTCAATTAACAACAAATACTTCTCCTTATTCTATCACATGTAGCTTAGAACAATTGAATGGGTAGAATATCAAAGAAGCAGGTCAAAATTAAGTACCTGCTGTACATCATAAATCTATTGGATATTCTAAAGTTGATGGTGGAGTAACAGGAGAAAATGTTGAATTGATTATAACTTAAGTCTTACCAGCTCTAGGATCACCAGATGGAGGAACAACCATTACAATCACTGGTACTGGATTCCCTAAAAATTTTAATAGAGATTTTACCTTCAAAATTGATGGAAATGATGTTAAACCATTATCTATTTCAAATAACGAAATAGTTTTTGTTTCCCCATAAAGAGTAATTGGAGGAACTGGAGCTATCTCCATCTCTTTCAATTAGAAAACAGTCAATAGTAATTTATTCGCATATGATGATAATTTAAGAATTCAGGTTTCAACTTTAGAATTCTATTAAAAATCACCTATATTCAAAGGAGAAATGACAATTACAGGAACTAATTTTGGAGTTGATGCTGATGATATCAAAGTTACTCTAGTTGGAACAACTAAATCTTATAATGCTAAAGTAATATCTATCACAGATACTTCAATTTAAGTTTATTTAAGAGGAGGAATGCCTGGAAATTATAGAGTTACTGTAACAAGAAAAGGTTATGGAAATTCTTATGCTAATGGTGAAGATAACTTATTTAAATACATTATTCCAGTTACAAGTGTTACTTTAGAAGATGGTAGTTAAGCTAAAGG